GAAGTACATCTTTTAGAGATGAATCTGCTCATACAATACAAACTCACAGCAAAGCAAGGTAAGTTTTTCTCCTATATAAATGTGGCACTCTGCTACAGAAAATGTTGGTAGGTTTATGCATAAATTCAAAATTAGTAGATATTTACTAGAAGACAAAATCACAGGAAGAAATATTTGATTTTTACCTTCCAAATTACAAAGTTAACAAACATAAGGAGTCAAAACAATAATTTACTAGTATTGTTAAAACTTATTTTAAAGGTATTTCACTAGTAATGCTACTTATTAATTTGCTGTTTTTCAAGATCTTTAAACCACTAATTAAATTCTCCAGTTACAATACAAAAAAATGCATTCAGGCTTAAATCTTAAACTTAAGATTTGGGTATTACAGAACAGTATTTTGGTAATATATAAAAAAAAATACCTAAGTGCCATCTACTGGAATTTGAGAGCTATTGTCTTTTAAACTGAAATTTTTCTAGCTCATATAGTAGAATAAGCTATTCTTATGTAGTCAAATTCCAGCAATTAAAAAATTAAGATTTTTTTTTAAAAAAATAAATACATGACATAAAAATAGTTTGCACTTTAAATAATATTGGAAGAAAACAAAATATGTATGGTGAATTTGGGACAAGATAACTGTATTTATATAAAGGTGTTATCTTTTTTTAAAAAGATATACTGTATTATATGTATAATTCTAAAACTATCTAAAAGTATATACATGTATACATTATATTTAAAATGAAATGGTTAAATGTATTCTTAATGTCTTAATTCAAAAACTGTAAATATATAAATAATATATACTGCTAAGCCAATTTCATGACCATGTCATTTATCAGTTCCACTATCTCTGAGTAATCTGCCTTTATGACTATTTATATTATAAAGGGGAGATGCAGGGTATCCGAGAAGCCATCTCTCCCCAATGGGATAGCCCCATTCCACTTGTGCCAACAGAAGAGGCCCCTCTATGGATGTCTGCTAAGGAACTGAAGCAGGCAGAGTCAAGAAGTCTTTTCCTGTGGCCTAAACACTTGTGAACATTTTACCCCAAGAGGTGAGTATTGCCCCCTCTCTTTTGGCATTCTGGAAGAGTATTAAAACCTAACTTTGCCAGTTAGTGTGGGGCCCTGAGGGAGTGCTCACTGCTGAAGATGGCTGGCTGATGGGGTAAAAAGACCTCATCCCTCTCCTGATCATCTCTTAGTTCTCTTAATTTCAGTTTTAGCACAGTTTTTAATTGTATTTTAATCTGTGTAGATTTTAATGTTTTAATATTTTAATTATTTTTTACTTGTTTTATAACTTATAAGCCACCAAGAATCGCCTTGTAGGGAAAATGGGCAGCATAAAGATTTGATAATAAATAAATAAAACAGATGAGAGCTTTTTCTTCTGCTGTGAAGCATGTTGCCTGTTTTCCTTCCACTATTGATCAGCTCTTATATCCATACTTTTATTTGGAACTTCCAACATAATAACATGATAGAAACGTGTTATTTGCTACTTCACTGGTTGTCCAAGTGGAAATGTTGTCTATATATGTTCACAGGCATGCAAATTGAGGGGAAGCTTCCAAAACCATGACAAGGCCTTCCAGAGACTAAGGCTGGATCAGCATTTTGAAGAGTGATTCTTCACATTGCCAAATGTGCTATGTGGGTTACCCTTTATGAATACGTTGAACAACAATATTGTTTATCCTTTTCTTTTGCATTTCAAGGGGATTTCTGCTTGATTTGCAGAACTAGCAAATACAAAGTTATGATCAAAAATTGTGGAAATAGAGCAAAATAGTGGGCTAAATTAGTACATAATTTAAAAAGAAAAATTTCATTAGCAACAGCTTGTAAGAACTTTGCATTCAATTGACGTATTATTATTCTTAAAATGGCACTGAATGTTTCCTAAGATCAAACATATTGCCCCTCACCAGATTATAGTACCCCTTGATAAAAATATAGTGCTAAACTATTTAAGACTACTGTTACATTTAGAGAAAGCAAAGTGTCTATTTATTTATGAACTAAAAATACAATCAAATTTATCAAACCTTATGTAGAAGCTAAAATGGTAAGCCTTGTTACCAATTATTGTTAAAAAAAGCAGTAACATACAATATAGTGTGAAAGACTTTCAGCTTAGTTAGCTTTAAAAAGCTGATTCCTTAAGCAAACCACAGCCTATTATTTCCTGTAGCAGAGATGCCTACTCTAGTAGAAAGAACCTCCATATGCATAACCACAAGTAGCACCCAGTCAACCTGAGGGAAGCCCACAGGCTTGCAGGGCCACTGGCTGGCTCTTTGTCACCAAATGCAGTAGGTTGAATGCAGACATCACTGTAATATCGTCACCAACACAACCAGAGGCAAAGAACAGGGGCAAGAGCTGAGTAAGGGAAAAAAAGATGAAAATGAAATTAAAACTTCAAAAAATTAGATACATTCATAGCAAAAATGATGACTTTTTTTTCTGAAAAGAAACATACAACATATAATACAAATACACATGTATGAAATGAGTTTCTCTCATTCCTTGCACAACAATCTAACAATTATTCCCAAGAAATAAAGCAACTTACAAACATATATACACAACAATGTTAAGAAAATGATTTGAAAATGATCACATAAAAAATTCAGAAAGAAACATGGTATTTTGTTCATTTATTATTTTAGTTTGCATTTAAGTTCTAAAAGTTTTAAAAATAAGGAACTTACTATTACACAAACAATTATAATCTTAAAATAGTTGAATTTTTAATAATACCCTCTATAATTATGCATGCAGCAAGACCTTTATTTAGAAATGAAAAAGAACTCCACGTGCATTAGATTGAACTCCTCGGAATGGACAAAATGAATCTAAGGAAGGTTATATGAGAGGCCCATATTAAAGCTGTTCTACATAATGACCACTTGCTGAGTTACATATTTTTAAAACAATTTATAATGAAAGCAGCAGAACTCATCAGAAACATCTAGTGCAGAGTTCCCCAACCTTTGGGGGTTCCTGGCCCAGGGAGGAAAGAGGTGATGATTTGTGGGAGAAGCAACTGCATGTGTGGGAGGGGCAAGTGCATGTGTGGGAAGGGCAAGTGCAGTGCCTGTGATGTTTGCGGCAACTTGTGTAAATGGGACTGCGAGCACCCATGAGGAAGTGCGTGCGAACAGGGCTGTGTGTGCACCTGCAATGAAGCTTGTGCAAATGGGGCTGTGAGTGCACTTGGGGGCACGTGCACCAGCCAGGCACTTATGTGACCCAGTGGCAATTAGCCAGCGGCCCACAGGTTGGGGATCTCTGATGTAATGGACAAGTACACTGTGTAAGAATCATACACAATTTCTTGTGCTGTATTCATCTACTTTAATGTTTCTTCAGATTAGAATGCATTACAAAGTTTCAAATATATTTATATCAAAAACTGATAATTATTGTTTGGAAGTGCTATCTATTTCTCTTGGATAATTGATCAAACCAGATAAGTACAGAAATATGATTTGTAGGCCTGTAAACAGCAAAGCTGTTATAAACCAACATTATATCAAGAGAGTGACCTGAATGATTTTTTTAGACTGGATTTACAAAAGAGGCTTGCTAAAGTTTTGAGGAATATTGCATGAATGGACAAAGAAGAAATGAATCAAATCTACAGCATTGTTTAAATAGACTCAAGAGTAACACTTATTAGAACTAAAAGGAAGGAATATAAAATTGGTTTATTTGATCATGGTTAAGATATTTTATTTCTGGTAAACTTCAATGGGCTTTCATTGCATTAAACTATTACAGAGTGAAGAGATACTAAAATTGTTTATACTTGTGATGAAGTCAAATGTCTATATATTTACTTTGTTTCCTTGCTATATTCTTACTTTTCTTACTCTTTTCTTTCTGTGCATTAACAGATAATCCAAAATCTTCCATTATCAAGCTGTGATTGATGAGGGATCAGCAGCTGCCTTGTTACCAGCTAGGCAGCTAACTTTTTTTTTACCTTGCATTTGTACTGTTCTGTGAGCTGAGTATCTTCACCTTGAACTTGCTATAACAACGATCAGCCTTAGACTGTTAAAAAAAAATCACTAGAATAATATCAGTAAACGCCAACAATAGCAGATCACAGTCCAACTATAGTTCATCTGCCCATAGGTGTCAGCAACAAAGCAGGATAGGTTATACCTGGCATGACATCAGAGCACAAACCCCTCCTTTCTGTGTCTGCAATATGATACTGATGAAAGGTAATTCATAGCGACATCACTGTGTGTCCACATATATTTTGTAAACACATCTTGTTGGGCCAGCCCAACCAGTTTGTTTTCTGTTGGCAACTGTCTCTGACTGGCTGTGAGCAGACTAGTTCAAGCTGCTGGAATCTTTTTTTGCTGGCAAGGTATAATTAAAGCATTATTTTATTTACTTATTTTGCTGCTCTCTGTTTGGACTATTTAAAAATTTCCTGGAAATCAATATATTGATTACAGTACAGAAGCCTAGGCTTCTACCATAAGTTGTTCGGAAGTGTACTTAAAAACTTCTGGACAAGATTTCTGGGAAGAAACAGCAAGAATATGTTGCATAGATGGTCTTCTGATTATACACCCTTAGGTCCAAGTCTCTGTACTAGATGGATATGTACAGCGCTATCCCCATCCCTCAATTTGTTTCCTGCTATGTTTTTTTCATTATATCTTGAATTACTAATTTGCTTTAGAGTGTATCTTAATAAATACTACTTGGATTAAATTATTTCAAAGGACAGGTGCCAAATGTTATAGAAGCAGAAGTGGAGACAATAATGAGCAAGAAAAGATGCAATTTGCATGAATGACTGCATAATGATTTTGTTTCCTAATCATGCACAGAGACCATTCTCTTGGAGAAGGCAATCAACTAATAAAAGAGGCATACACATTCCAAGCAAGCAAATGAAAATGTATGTTCACTTTGAGAAAGAGAAGTGTGCAGTGAAAATGTAATTACCTAGCAAAGCTGTAGTTTTACTGGGGTCCAGCAGCTGATCATAAAAGGTCTTCCTATTCTGTTTCATCAACTGTAGCATCAGGCAGCCTGCACGCCTACCAACTGCAGCCATCTGTCTTGTGTCAAAGCCTATGACTCAAGCAACTACAGTGCAACAGGGAGAAAGGCAGTGATATCACTCTTCAGGTCAGGCAAAAAACAAGGATGAATTCTACCTCTAAAAAGCTGGGTGCCCCGGGAAGAGAATTTCTAGAACACTTTAACTTAGCAATTTATGACTAAAGATGTTCTCTCCATTAAATGAGGAACAGACCATCCCCCTAGTGGTTAGCAGGCAAAAAAGTGCAAACAGCAAGCTTGTGTTGCTAAAGCTAGATAAAATAGCTTTTGCAAGTTAATGCAAAACAAAGAATAAAATGTTGATTGACTTGCCCATAGGGAAAACAATTAAATGTTTCAAAAGTAGAATACATCCTGTGATGAAAGATAATTGAACATTTTAATAACGTAATACCACTTCAGATTGTACTTGGATGAGAATGTTTTAAATCCTTCCCCACCTAAAAATAATCCCACACCTAGTTTTAAAACAGATTAGTTGCTCTGTGCTGCACTGTTATAGGCAACTACTACTACCGTATTTCTGCAAGAAGAAAATCAGAAGTCTGATAGCACCTTTTCAACTAACAAATTTTGTTAAAAGTCATAAACTTTCATGAACTGCCTCATTTTATCAAACGCATGTGTTGCATAGTTTATAAATTAATTTTCCCTCATGAAAGCTTATGTGTTTTAGCAAAATTTCTTAGTCTGACAAGATACACCAGACCTGATATTCTGCCACATTGTCTAACAGAGTTTTCTAAAATTTTCAGAAGATAACCAGATACCGGTAGATGTTCAAAAAGGATTCTCTCAGATTCTAACCATTCTTCAGCATAAAGTTATACCAGTGAAACTTAAAATAAGATTATGACCTACACTTTTTAATTTCTTAATGTTTTCTTACAATCAACCTTAATGATTTAATTTGAAGGCAAGCTATACATTATAATGCATTTAGCCAATCACAGGAGCTGGGATGGGCGTGGCCTGCACATGACCCATTTGGCTCACAGGCTGCCAGTTTGACACACCTGATTTAGAACAGGCTGGATAGGGAATTCTGGGAATTGAAGTCCACACATCTTAAAGTTGCCACGTTTGAAAAAATGCATATTTATAACATGTAATACTGTCAAGACTTTACTGGCAGATATAAGGAATATAAAATTATTTATCCCCTTGTAAAGCAATTTATGATTACAAGTTAAAACAGTATAATTTGGCACATAATCACATGAAACAGCTAAAAACAAGACAATTAAAGCAACACAGTAAAAAAAAGACGGGAAAAAGTCAACAGAAAGAAGACTGAGCCTCAGATACAGGATATAGTAGTCAGGTAGGCTCCCATAACATAGAATTCCTATCACTAGAGGGAAACAGTCACTCTTAAATGTTGTCCAAATGACAACTTATACGGCATGTCTTAAGATCGTCTCTTTCTCAATTCCTGCCACTGTACACAAATAAAAGTTTATCAAAATTATCTCAGGAACAGGCAACAGCTGACAAACTACAGCTTACAAGTACCAGTAGTCCTCAACTTATGACTGTAATGAACTCATAATTTTGGTCGTAAGTCATGATGGTCGTAAAGCCAGTCACTTTGTGATCATGCTTGAATTTAGTTTTTTGTGGCAGTCATTAAGCAAACACTGCAGTTATTAAGTGCCACAGGCATTAAGCGAACCCATTGGCCGGAAACCAGAAATAAATACCATTTCTGGCAAAAACTGCAAATAACCCTGAATATGGGTTGGTTATCAAGGGTTCAAAATGGGGAGAGCACATATCATAACTTCAAATCCTTAAAAGCCAATTTCAATATTTTTAACTTACAGAATTTTAAATTGCTAGGATTTTTTTGAGATTTTCATTTCTTAACGATATAAAATTTGGAGCATTTTTATTATTACATTTTTTAAAAAAAATAGCAATTACACTGTGGAGTGAAATTGTACAATGTTGCCTGCTGACTGGTGCATAACCACCTTTCCTAATATTCTGAGATTTCTAATAGCCTGAAAACCTGAAAACAAAGTATTTTTAAATGTCTTTTTCTTTATGCATTCCAACAGCAAAAAGAGATCATTTCTGAATCGAGATAGTCTGATTATCTAACTGAAAGATTATAAAAGGCCCTCTTTGGCATCGAAGTGCTGACCCTAACTTTGCAAAGACAGTTTCAAAATGGTAACTTTGGTAATATTCTAGTAGAAGTTATGTGGTTGGATTTTTTTGAGGAAGGGTAAACTTTTCTCTTTTGAAATTATCTTGGGTCACATTGACAAACAGAATAATACACTTGGCTCTGTTATTATATTCCAGTACAAAAACCTAATAATAAGGAAAAGCTAATGGCAATACTTTACTGAGCTACCTACAGAGTATTTAATATACTATATATCTGACTAGAAAAAATCATTCTGCAAGAAAATAGTAAACCTTTTGTCTGAAACTTTTAAAACTGCCTTGTGTGTTCCGACCTGCATTCACTTTCAACATTCACTCATTCCATCAAAGGATAAGAGCTGACATACTGTCTGTTCTTGGCAAAGTTACAGAAAGCCTTATCTCAACCAACAGCTGGAATGAGAATTGGTACTGTGTGTCTGGATAACTGTAACCTAAGAATAATAAATACCATTAGAAGATCAAGCAGTGCTTTAAAAACTTACAAAATGATTTAGTTACAACTTATCACTTGTATTTCATATGGCTAATAAAATAAATTTCTTCCTTTTATAAAAGGCAGAATTGATATTCAGCAGGTTCTGACCAGTTCTGGAGAACCAGTAGCGGAAATTTTGAGTAGTTCAGAGAACTGGCAAATACCACCTCTGACTGGAGATTTTACAGTATCCTTCCCCTGCAACACCCACAGAACCATTAGTAAAAAAATTTGAATGCCACCACTGATAAAAGGGTAGTAAAGGCAGAAAGCACATAGGCAGTCAGATGATTAAAAAAATCTTTGATTTTGAGTAAAATTTAATGCAGGAGATATCAAAGAATTACCTTCTTTCGCATCCCCCACATTAAATTAATTAAATAAAGACCCAATATGGTTACAAGGTCAAATGTATTTTCTTAAGCTCCATGTTGGATACCTAACATCACTGGCATCTCCTGCATTAAGCCTATTCTAAATCAGAGATTTTTTTAATGAACTACATACCAAATCATGTGCAATTCTTGCCATACAACTGTGTCAGTTGCAAAGAAAACAAAAAATATGGTAATTATAAATAAAACTCAGAAATAACAATAAAAAACCAAAGATAACACCACCACCCCAGATAGGCAACTGCAGTCCAAAAGACATTAAACAATTTCAAGCTCTTTATTGTGGAATTGTAGCGGGATGGGGATTACATGTACTTCTGGAAGTAGAGCATTCCATTAAGTCGGGACTATTACAAAGAAGGGCTACTTTCTCATACCTTACTATATCCTGTTTTGAACAGGCTCCAAGATTGGTAGATTTAATAATATCAAGTGGTGTGGCCTAATGTAAATAGCCATGTACATAAACATTGTTTCCCACGCAGGACAGTAACTTATTTATCTTTTATCCAAGATGGAGTCAAAGAACAATTTATAGTTACAATTCCAAAATGCTAAATTGGGATTTCAGGCATTAACAGCAGATTTCTGTTGCTGATGATGGATGCCATGGTTCTCTCCTCAAAAGAGGAGCATAAAGAAGAGTAGAGACATTTATGGGCTAGATGCTGATAGACAAGTCGGATCAGAGAAATAGCTCTTTCATTGCTCTGAGCACCAAAGCAATGCCCAACTGATTATTTTTAGACAGTGCAAACTAGTAACTTGGAAAGCTCACTGCTTTTCATATAGATGGCACAATGGGAGGGGTCACCCTTGCCAAGCGAGTTTTCTATTTATCACCTGCTTTTCACACTCAGTGCATGAACAAATTATCTGTCCAATAGCAACTGTTATAGCTCAATTTAACTAAAATATTCTTGTATTTTTAATTAAACAAGTGGTTAGTTTTCTGCTTGGCAGAAGAAATATGGGTAGAACACTACAAGATTTGAAATAAAGGAAAAACTAAAATAACGAACAAACAAAATTTATTTATAAATAATAAATAAGATCTTAGGTTTAGCAGTTTGGAGAAACCAGTAGTAAAAAGAAGGCATATTTCCAAATGTGCCTGGTTAATTTATCGTATAAAAGTGTTGGCTGCCATAAAACTCTGCATTTATAACTATGATCTTCACCTCTGAACAGGAAAAATAAATAGCTTTGCATTGGTTTGTCAGTTTAGAGCCATGATGGCAAACCTATGGCACGCATTCCACAGGTGGCACGCAGAGCCATTTGTGCGGGCATACGAGCCCCAGTCAAACTTGCCTGCACTGTGCATGCGTGCACCTCCCAGCTGATTTTCGGCCCGTTTGAGGCCTTTTTCGCCCTCCCAGAGGCTCGAGGGAAGCTTCTGCAGCCTCAAGAGGCCGAGAAACAGGCCTTCCAGAAATACCAGAAGTGTCCATTTTCAGCCTCAGTTCAGGTAAGGGGGGGTGTTGTGCGTGCATGCACTGGGGGTGTGGGGCGCATTGCATTGTGGGTGCCAATACATGCATGCTTTTGGCACACCACAACAAAAAGGTTTGCCTGGTTTAGAGCAAAAAACATAACACAATCTTTTTCTTCAGACCCAAGGGGAAAAAACGTATCTTTAGAAGTTAACACTGAATATGGTGTTTGAAGAACAGATAAAAACAAATCTAGTACTCTCTTAAAAATTAATTATAACATAAATCTGTGTTGGAAGAATATGTTATTTCCCCTATTTTCCAAACTTTAATTGATAGTGCAAGCTGCCTAGTGAGATTGGTGGCATATAACTTTAATAAATATTAAATTACCCAATTATCAAAAGCCTTTATATTTTTATGGGATGGGAAATATAATTCAATAAAAGATAATAAGATTTTAAAAATAACATGAGAATGTTTTGCTTAAACTATCAAGCATCAAAGAACATTTTTGGAACTCCTTTCTTCCAAATACATTGGAACAGCCTGACATAATTATAAAAAATATTTTTCAAAAGCAAACTCAGTTTGCATAGGAGTCTTAAATCAAAAGATAAGCAAAACTGTCTTTGAAATCACTTGGCTCTCTTCCTCTTCAATCTTGATTTCTTTAAAAAAATATTTGAATTTAAAAAATAGAAAGTTGGCATGCTGCAATAATGCATGTTGTCCTTGCAAAGATCCATTGACACTCCACAGAACAGCCTGAGAAAACGGAATTCTAGAAATCAGTTGCTTTGAAATTGATCATGCTCACCATGACATTCACATGGTAAATATACTTTCTATGGCTATTTGAATATTTATAAAATATCAAATAGGGTCCTGGCCCAAAACATTTGCCTAATCCTGTAATAAGACATCATGTGGCTTGTTTAGTTTCATGATACCACATTAAATTAATCTATTATTGTTTGTAAATCATGATTTGTGTTGCATAAACCCAGTCAATTGTGGTTTACCCAGCAAAATATGGCTATAAACAATCTATTCATTATAGACTATTATCTCTGGTAAACCTAAAGTGTCAGAAGAAAACAGATGATCAATATGAGAACTGGAAAGCAATATATATATAATGTGGTCCAACCACATTAAATGTATTTAGATTATATTAAAGGTTGATTGAGATAAAAATCCCCTTTGTTAACTTGCGTTAACTGAGAACCCTGAGAAAAAAATTTGTTAACTCTAAAACAATTACTCTAATCTCTAATCCCTACAGACAAGCAAAAATTTCTGGATTAATAACAAACTTTTGCTGCATATTAATGTAATGGAAACAATAGCACGCTAGTTGGAACACACCCTCATCACATCTCCAAACCTGGCAAATTGTCAGGGGCCTTATTTCTGTATGTCAAATGCTAATACTTCCTATGAACCTTTAAGGAGATTATTCGCTTTAAAAGTGATGCAACATCTCCAATCCCATTCAGAAGAAAGTGATTTTTTAAAAGAAAAAAAAAGGAGGGCTAACTTCCCAACTAATTTAGAAAAAAAAATCTTCAAGAACTCCTTCCCACATTCCCAACCTGAATATAAAAAACAGCCAAAATTCCTATTTTGGTTACATATTGAACGCTATCACATAATATCTGTATTTAGTTACAGCCATCACCCAGACGGATTCAGCCTAATCCTGAACAGATACTCTTGGTTTGATTACATACATTCAAAATACAGGTTTATATTAACCCAATCTTATCCTTGTCTAATCAGAAGTATGCCCTGTGGATATTGACAGGGTTTTCGGAAGCAAGTGGAGTCAGGGTAATAAGGAAGAAAGGTGTCCTTAAATTAAACCATGCTTAAAACAGTTTATTGTGGATTATTCGACTTCGCTGGACACGAATGACAAGGTAGTTTGTGATGACTACAACTTTAGATGGAACTATCTGGATAGTCAACCTTACTTAATTCTACCAGAGGTTAAGGAAAGCTATCGCTGCTGGACTGGAATACGTGTCTCACGGCAGTAGGACCCCTCCACCTTTTTTTTTCCTTGCTCATCCCCGCTACAAAGAGCCTCCAGCAAGCCATCGCCCTTTAATTTTCAACTCACCACAGGCCGGATCGAATAATCTAGAAATCCGAATAGAGAGACGAGAGGATAACCTTGCCTCTGCGAGGGACTACGGCTCCCTTACCTGGTATCTGCGTAAGAGTCGCTGCCGCCGCCGCCGCCAAGCAAAATAAATTCAGGAGTAAGGGAAGCTCGGCACGCATGGAGAGGCGAGGCAGAAAAATAAAGCAGCAGAGCCTTGGCAGGAGAAAAGGTAGCTACTGTTTCCGCACCCGCCTCGGGCCAAAGGCGCCCTCCACCCCCCAACCCCCACGGTCCAGCAAAAGTCCAGGCCAAGCAGCCTCTCCAAAAGGCATGACGGGAAATTCCTTGGGCGCCAGCAGCTCGATCAGCTCCAAATATGAGCATAGAGCCGAAAGAGACCGCCACCGTCCCAGGGCGGGGGCGGAAGGGAAAGGGGAGGGGGGGTTGCACGTGTTTTTAGGGCTTTAAAAGTCGATGTCGGCCAGCAAAACTTTACTTTTGTCTTTTGTTTTGACTTCATTTGCAACTGAGAATCCATAGAACCCTATAGAAATTTATAAAGAACTTTAATAAAATCATTTTTTTTTCTCCTCTAAGTTTGGTCCAGTCCAGGTATGACTCCATCTAAATGTAACATACGAATTCCTGATACTTTGCCAATATCTGACCATTTAATTCAGAGATGTTTCCAATTCAGTGGCATGACACGGGAAGAAATACAAGTAGTCCTTAACTTTCAACAGTTCCTTTAGTGAAAGTTGTTACAATGGCACTGAAAAATGTAACTTATGACCATTTTATAGTTTGCAGCATTCTCATGATTGTGGCAACTGGTTTATATTTATGACCATTGCTGTGTCCCAAGGTCATGTGATTACCTTATGCAATCTAACAAGTAGTGAGGAAGCTAGATGCACTTTTAACTGCAGTGATTCACCTAACTCTGGCAAGAAAGGTTGTAAAATGGGGCAAAATTCACTTAACTGTCTCAAAATCAGAAATTTTGAGCTCATTTGTGATCTTTAGTCAAGGACTACCTATAATCACATCATACTGGGCTACACTTTTATTCAATTCATAAAGGGGGGGGTTCTAATACACTACAGTGATAAATCATAACCAGTTGGCAGGTTTGTGATTATACAAGATTTAAGGACAAAGCCATAAATACTTGTTTCTTTTAAAAGCAGAAGCTTCTGCAATTTAAATATTTGATTTTAATTAATTTTACATTAAACTGATGTTTTTCTTCTGATCTTATATCCTTGAGATTATCTCCCAACATATCACAGGTTAATTGCAATATAGTCCATACTCAAATATCCCTAGTTTAAAACAAAGCAAAAAGTCTCAATTCCTGATTTTTCCCCACAATATCCAAGTGGTTTGTCATTGCATTCTTCTCGGGTTTTTTTTTTTCTTTTCAATGTCCCATTCTAGCAGTCAGTTCTGGAATTTCTTACTAACCTCTCACTCGTCTCATTCAAGCCGCTATCAGCTTTTTTACATGATCAGGGTGAATTAAATGCCACCAGCTATTGTAAAAAGAGAAAAATAAGCCAACCTTCATTGGAATTCTATCAGTGTTTTCAAGATAAAACCTTATAAAACAGCAATACCTCTTGGATCCAGCCATTCTAGATGGCTGCACACCTCCAATAAAAGTTTCACATGGAAGAAATTATCCTTCTGATATTCTAGTTCCAGACCATTTTAAGGCTTGTTAGGTTGATTACTAAATATGAGTAATCAGCTAGAAACAAATGGAAATTATGTCCAGGAAATGATTCAAGAATTGGAATGTTTGGAACTTGATGAAAGAGAATGGATTCTCAATCCCTAACAATGTAACTCGGGTGGATTTCTTCAAGGGCTGGATCAGCATTGTAGTTCTGTGGGCCAGCGACCCGGGGGGGGGGGGGGGCAAGAGGGCCAGGATGGATGCTTCCTGCAGCACCCTGCTGGCAAAAACAGGGTGTGGGGGTCCACACATGGCCCCCCTGCACCTTGTTTTCACTGTCCTGCAGCACTCTGCCAGATGTTTTCAGCCCATTTTCTGGGAAGATTTTTGGCCCTTTTTGGGCCTGTTTTTGAGCCCCTTTTCAGCCCATTTTGGCCTGTTTTGGGGGGGCATTTTCAGGCCCTTTTGGGGCTGTTTTGGGCCTGTTTTTTTTGGCCAGCAAAGTGCTGGAAGCCATGGAGGGTGAGGCATGGGGGGGCTGCACATAGCCCATTTTAGCCTCCAGAGGCACCGTGGGCCAGTCCTATGTGACAATATTGTAGCCCTGTGGGCCAGATTTAAATGCCCCGCAGGCCGGATCCAGCCTGTGGGCCTTGATTTTGACAGCCCTGATCGAACTTAATCCTAGAAGTCCTAAAACATTCAGTGTTGAAGACCAGTGAATTTCCGGAAGGTTGAACAATGTTATGATTACAGCATAGGCCTTGAGAGCCATCTATTCAATTCTCATTATACAAGAACTATGAAGGATCTTTCAAAACCAAAATCAGATTTTAAACCAGTTTCAAAGGTTGTTACTACGGATGTCTTTAAATTGACCTCTCATAAATATATAATACATAATTTTAACTTCCACCATCCAATTCAGTCTATTAACTTTTATAAACCTGATTGGACTTGTATGTAGTAAGTCATTGACATCATCCTTTCAATATATCTGTCCACATCCTTCACTGTAGGAAATCTAGAAAAAAAATCTGTTCAGAATATTTCATATGAGAAATTCCAAAATTAGCATGGATAGAAATCTTATAAACATCTTGCAACATATTTTTACATGTAAAAACTATACTAATTTCTGCAAATTAAGAATAGGTTACAGTAATAGTACTTAGATGTATACACCACTTCATAGCGCTTTACAGCCCTCTCTAAGCAGTTTACAGAGTAGGCATATTGCCTCCAACAATCTGGGTCCTTATGTGATCTTAAAGGTACCAACTTGAGATTCTCTCACATTCTACTTTTCAGAACAGTCTAGTAGTAATTAGAAGTTCCAAAGGTGTTTTTTTCAAGAGGCAACTGGACTTTCTGGTTTTTCTTTGAAGACGTTTCACTTCTCATCCAAGAAGTTTCTAAAGCTTCTTGGATGAGAAGTGAAACATCTTCAAAGAAAAACCAGAAAGTTCAGTTGCCTCTTGAAAAAACACCTTTGGGACCACTATGACCTGGATGACTGAGAATCTCCATAGGCATTTAATTAGAAAATATAATCAACAGAGTAGCTGTTCATACTTAAAATACACATGATAAAATGTAGTTGTTTTTTGTTTTTTAATAATCATCCAATGTTGTGCTCCCAACCAGTGCAAGAGTTAAAGAAATCTATTTTAACTATTATTCCCCAATGTTAAAAGACCTAAAGAACTGACACGGGTGTAAAAAGCCCTAATAAATCTTTAATTGATTTTGGTTTGCTTTTATGTTTTTACAGGACAAATTACAAACATCTGACTTTCTGAAGTGTCCATGGTATTATACACATTTCCATCTGTCTTGCAGGGAGGAAAACTGGTCAACATTTTAAAGGTAAAATAGGCTACATAATGGTAGAGTTTACTATAACAAATGTACAGGGTTTACACATAGTTTAGAAGATGCATCTGCATCAAAAGGCAACGTTTTAAACTGCCACAATTTAATTTTACATTCATACTTGCAATAGATCACAAAATGGTTACTAAGATCAGAACAATAAATCACTATGATGCACCAATACAGCAAAACCAGATTATATACACATAAATACATATATATGTATATTATACATATTTGTTGATGTATATAGTAAGTTTCCATGAAAAACCTAACAGACCTGTCAAAATCTACTCTCTTTGTCAAAAATATGTACTTGTTTTTTGAGAGTAGAACTTTGTGTGGCTGATTATATTACATATATTTGTTAGCATTCTAGACAAAACCCGACCAATTTTTTTTTCCAGATAAGAAACAGTCCATTATTAAATATGTTGCCCACAAAAAAAGCACAATGATAAGGCACAGTAGGATTTTTCATTACACAAGTGTGTGTCATGTTCATTTATCCATAAGAAAACGTGCATTATTTGTGCAAGTTCATGCTGCAAGGTCGTATCTACAAAAACTGGACTATGTTTTTTAAAAAATGGTTTTCCATCCCTTTACCTCTGTAATATTCAACTGGATCAACACATTATGTTGCTTCAACAGGAATTACTGTATCAAATTATTTTATATTTTCAGATTAAGTTTCAAAATGTTTTGTATTTTTTTGTAATTTTAAAGGTGTAAACAATGCACACATTTAATTTAATACAGAACATATAAAAATCTTTATGTACTGCATTTCTACACTCTATCAAGAATTTATTTTCAATATGTGCATTTTTTTATTTGTGCACATTTAGGTAGCAAATTTTAATGGAAAATATACTCTCCATTAGTACATTGTAAGAGATTTTCTTTTGTAGTAAATAACTTTTCACAAAGTGAGTACCTGCCAATTACTTCTTTATTGCTCACATGATTTTGAATCCATTATCACAGTAACAATATTAGACCATTCACACAAAAATCATAACCTTTTATTTTAATATAAAACCTACAAAAAGATATTTAACTTGTATCTAATACTTCAAGGTATTTGGCCCTTGGATAATAATACAGCTAAATTAAATAAAACATTGGTTATGAATAAAATAGGAAGCTTATTCACTGCTTTGAAGTAGACATCCTCACAAGTTACTTGCTGGTGCTGCCACCACCGATGTTTATATACAAAACCAGCATATCTGCAATTCAGTTGTTTTCTGCTCTAAAGCTAATAAAGCCAGCATTCTTCCCATCCCCAGACTGACACAAATAAAGGTTTACAGCAACAAAAAGTAATTACTGGACAGAAATTAACACATCTATTCATCTTCCATCAGAAATTGTTGGTGGCTTTTGTTACAAAATACCCATAAGATTATTTCACAGGAAACTATGGAAATACAGTTTATCTCCATGCTTTTGGACTGTTATCATACACTTGTTGGTGCAAAAGTTCAGCCACATCTGAGAATGCTTAATAAACTCAACATTTGTCATGCAAAACATAGTATGTTGATTTTCTTGGACTCTAAAACATTTTATAGCCAATGCTCTTTTAATTCAGTACTACCCATTACTCAGACATTCTAAAAAATGAGACTGAAAAATGATTAATGTAATTGTTAACATACAAAAAGTAGTAAAAGTGGAAGACAAGACCAGTCAGGAAAAACTCCTGCTGCAAGTCAACAGTTCTAGTATAATAAGTG